CCATCAAATTAATTCGACATAAACCCGTAGATGATAAATCAAACAACAACAAACATATGAAACATATGTNTAAAGAGAAGTCTAATCCTGGTTTTCTCTTCTTAAAGAGAAGTCTTCTCTTTAAGAAGAGAAAACCAGGATTAAAAAAACCGCTTAAATCAAGTGAAATCGGTAAAATAACGACACCAGGAGCAAGCAACACACGTATGGAATAAGGTAAGCCATTTTTATTTCATATTTTCACTTTTAATCATCTCTATGGCTATCTTGTAGAAAATCCCATACAAATCCTTATAAATCGATAGGTAAATTGTGTTCCTTGTGTGGTTCTCAAAGAGAGCTTGGGCCACCTGTGGTTTCGCATGATATTTCTCGATAAAAGGGTTCACTCCTAAAGGATCGCTCCTAAATTGATCTGTCGTAAAGTTCGCGGAACGACCCGTTCCCAAATCGCTCCACTAGTTTTAGTGCAGTTCTACCGCGAACGGTGTGTGACTTTGTATATACATTGGGCGTTATAGCCATCAAACTTCTTTCGGGTACATCAAGCAAGGAATTGTCCACAAAGGCAGCCATTTGCTTTCTTGCTGTAAACCATGCGCTCTTGGGTTCATTGCACGCATGCGCTGTAGGGGAACTACGTTTTGTGACGCAAAAAAAAAAAAGCAAAAAAAAAACCAAAACACAGCCGAATTTATACCTCGGGTGTTTCCTTCGGAAAGCCCGAGTAAAACAAACAAAACAAAGCCGAATTTAAACCTCGGGCGTTTCCTTCGGAAAGCCCGAGTAAAAAAAAAAACAAAACAAAGCCGAATTTATACCTCGGGCGTTTCCTTCGGAAAGCCCGAGTAATAAACAGGGTATGGAGCTTGCGTGAGAAAAAAATGAGGAGTAGGCTCGATTACCGACCGCTGTTCGGGGATCGGAACCCGCGCTCCTCCCCGAACCCACTCTCATCTCGCCGAGGAACGAAAAAGACCGGGCCCGAGAGAGCGGCGTAAATCGTAGCCTGAGAATTAAAAGCAGCCGTCCTTTCGCTCTCTTCGTTTCCCCGCGTTTCTTTCGCGGGGAAACGAAGGGAGCGAAAGGAGGGCTGCTTTTCTCAGGTTACGGAAATCGGAAATCGAGCCTGTCAGAGCCTATCAGCCTATCAGCTCAAAAAGAAAAAGAAGAGGAGGCCCTGGGTTGAGTAAAGACCACCTGTCCCTGGATATGGTCGACCCGGTGTAATGTCAACCTTGTTGACAATCGTGGTTGAATCACCTTCGAACGATTCCATTTAAAAGAAGCTGTGCGCGAAATCAAGTCTGTGTAGATAACAATTCATTGAAAAGAATAATGCAACATGATACACACACGGATACCCGACATAGAACGTGCAGAAAAGGCAAGTATCGAGGGCCTACGTGAACGGCTGTTCAAATATTTCTTAAGCTCATCTCTTTGACGATTTCTCGGTTTAATTCTTATGATTAAGTTTAAAGTTCGATATTTCAAGGAATTTTCACGAGAAAAAAAGAGCCATTGTACAATTAAATATGATCGGATAGGAATTTTTACGTAAGCTACCCTAGTGGTTTGGACCAGCCTCCGTGTGATCGTGAGGAAACTTAACAGAGAGAATTTGGTGTAGTATAACAAAAATGTTTGTTGTCTAAGAGACATCATTGTCTGGAGAAAAGTCCCAAAGGTATGCGAATGTAAGATATAGATGTGAATATTTGGTTAATAGGTTGCCAGACTTAATTTAGGGTTTTTCTTTGCATTGATATGCCGAGAAAAATGTGAAATTTAAGACGAAGACCTGCAACTCGCGTTTACATTCTAAGCAATCATCAGCCTTATTTTTCTGGGCGAGCAGACTTAATTTTTTATGTGTGAATTTCCATTCCGTAACTTATGGAGCGAACAAATTGTTCTTCTGGTGACATTTTGTGGGTAGTTCGATCCACTCGATCAGCAAGTCGATATCTGGGTTTCATTAATGTAGAGTCTCTTAGGGAGGTATACATTGTAAATTAATGGAAATAGGTAGGGTTTCCTTTGTAGGGGCTTTCCTTCTTGAAGATTTGGAGATATGTATGTAACATTTAAACCTTTTATTTCAACATCAAAAGGGTGTTGACTTAACTAATTATAGGGGCACGTTTTTCTAAAGGGAGATTAGGTGGCATAGCAGTTGACATGCTGGACTCCTGGTTCAAGACAGACCTGGCCAGGTCATTGTCTATAGTGTTCATGGCGAGACATCTAACAATGCTTCTTTAATTGAAAAGTATAAATGGTTAGAGGCAAACTGTCTGGGAGCCCTGAAAAAATGCTGTGGGATAAATGTCTTAACTGCATCCCATCCAGGGGGAGTGCTAATACTCTTAAATCTTGTTTGCCAGCTGGGCAGCATTTTGAAGAAAAGACTTAGGCTGGCCATGACCTTTAGCCAATAAATACAATTAATTCTCTCTTCTCTCTCTCTCAAATCACCTTGGTTTTTCCGCAAGAACTGAAAAAACACTTTTGTATTAAATTTGTTTTTAAAAAAGATTGACACGCAGCCTAAAACCCATTAATTTTGTAATATTTTAATAATGCGATACAAAGAGTAAGTCAGAAAGTTAAACAATTACATACATTTAATAGCTGAATTCTCCAAAACAATTTGATCTTTTGAAATGTTGAGCAAAGTTTTGAAATCTTCTAAAAATATGCTTTCGCTTATTATTTGCAAGTCTCTTGAATTTGGACATTTCTACCATAAATTTCATAACAGAAAGCGAAGAAATTATTTTGATGAGAGAAAGTCGTATTAAATCCCCTTGTGTCAAACGAGAAAAACATGTCTCTTTTGACTCAGGGTTCGACACTAACTTTTCAACTTATTAGTGACATCTTAGATACTTTTAGATGTTATAACTATTTCAGTTTGTTTACTAGCCAAACTGGCCAGTGGAAATTGAAAACCAGTAACCAAAACTGAATTTCTACTAGTCTGTGGCTAGTGGGCTACTGTTAGTGTCAAGCCCTGTGACTTCAGGTTTTTGGTGGAAGAAAGATGAGATTTACACACAGCATTGCTAGGCAGACTCTCACAACTTCAAAACACACATTTGAATTCACTTAACATTTTTCAAGAGAATATCATTGCTATGGTCATTAATTTACCTTGAGTATGTTTGCCATAGAGGTGTCAGATCGTGACAGATACTTATCAAAAAGTGTTTCAAAGTTTACTTGGAAGTCTTTTGAGTTACCTTTACCATTACGTAAATAAAAAGGTTTCAGTGAAGCCTCTTTCTTTAATATAAATAGCCTCTGTTTTGTTTATCATCAACTTGCTAAAATTTTTTCAGTTGATGGAGCACCTTCCAGTAATTTAACTGGTAATTGTAACCCTAAATCATTTGGGTTCTTTTGGCAAGTATTTCATTAAATGTTAGAAAAAAGTTGAAATGTTATTCACCAGCCTAGGTCAGTCCTTATTTGGGAAGAACTGTGGCATCTGTCTTGAGCACTACCCTCGGCACGTGGCCTTGGGCAGTATCTAAGACTTTGGGCACAGTTTTTACTGATATGGACCTTCCGGCTGTCAAGTAACGTAATTGTTATATATCTTTGAATGGTTTTATTCTTAATTTCACCATTGTCAGACAGCTTATGGTAGCTGTCAACAAAGTAGGGTGCCTTACAGAAAATTGTCTTGTGCCTGCCACTTTAAAAGAAAATATAGAAAACTATCCATCACTATAAAGCTTATAACTGCTGTTGTTTTGTTAGACATGTGTTAGCCTTGAAACACAATTCTGATGCTGTTTGTCAACTGAATTACCAGCCTCTGCATTACCAAACTGAACTGAGTCAGATGATAGGCTAACAGTGTACGAGGCTTTTTCTATACTCTTATTTGTTCCTGAGAAAGTCTATTTGAAGTTGGACAAAAGAAAATATTACAGTTGTTGTCATGAGCCCATATTATATGGGGCATTAATATCTGATTAATATTCTGGTCAAGTTTCATCAAAATCTGACAAATTGACATACCCCACTAATTTGTTTAATAAGTAAAGGTGACTCAAAGAAAAAATCTTTACTTTTTGCCTCCAAAGAAATTCACAGTTTCTGCGCCTTGTTTAAGGGTGTCATTACCGTTGTTGTCACCGACCAATAGAAAATAACATTAAACTCTGCAAATTTATGATTTCCTCCGACTATGTAAAGAAAAAAACAAAGTTTTGACAAGATCTTTTTGACAGAAACCTGAACTATAAAATAATTGGACAAAAGCCAAAAATCATCTTTTCATCTTTTTTAAAGAATTTTGAAGAGAGACGAGTTTCAACATTTGCTTGTCCTCAATGTTAAGTCAAAAGTAAATGAAATTGACTTTGAATAAAACTTTTAAAAAATCCTCGGTGAAGCTATGAAACACCATAAGTAAAAAAAGTAGTAACTCCTTACTAAATTTGTGACTTAGGGCTATACTGGGGAATATTGGCTTGAGGTCATGGCAGTATGAACTATGTGCAGCAAGCTCTATACAAGAATGACTAAGGCCCAACACTCTCCGGTACAACTTGAGCAAGTGAGGATAGTAGGTAGTTTATAATGAAGCACTTGGGAGCAAACTTGTTTATTTCAAATTTGCCTACTCTCGTGGAAAAAATACATAACTTATGATCTTTAAAGTGGAAAAGGTCCATCTAGCAAAATAACAACCAAGTAATAACCAATCAGAATGCTCTAACTTACCTCAGGACTACCTTGTAAATAATTAATTGAAATGGATGAGGATTGTAGGAAGCTTTATTACACTGTTCGTTTAATGAAGAAACCAAACAGTGGTTAACTTTCAGAACTCTCAAACATGTAAGAGAGATTCTTTGTGGTAACAATGTCTTGTGATATGCATACATATCACAAAGCAGTCAACATGGATAAATTCTCTTATCTAGGTTTTCTGTCATCAGTAATTTTCTATAATTACAATCCTTAAATCGTACATTTTCATTTAGGAACCTGTGGAAGGTGATCTGCATACAGAATTCAATATTTTACAGAAAAGCACTGGTAAGAGTTAAACTACAAACAGTATGTTATTAGAAATGTAAGTAGAATACTTGCATGCATTGAGTGCCTGAGTTTGCGTGTGAGCCTAAAGTGACAGAAGCAAATTATGAACAATCATGCTACCAGCAGAAGAAGTTTGCTGGATGGCCTCCATGATGTATGTGTGAAATTGAGCCATTAGCTGTTAGAGAATGTCTCTGTCAGGAATGAAGGCAGCTCTTTGTTATTGACATTCATTAGACCTTCTGCAATTTGTTAAAACGAAGCAAAATGAGACGAAACAAAATGAAAATCTGTAATTTGTAAAATAAAAATCTATTAATGATTTGGGAAATAGATATCTGTTTATGATTTGCAAATTAAATAGAAATCTGTAATTTGCAAAATAGAAATATGTTAATGATTTTCAAAATACTGTATAAATCTGGGAGTGTCAAGCTTGCTCTAGGCTGGGTGCTTATTAAATTTTCCTACCTACGGTGGTGGGTAATTAATCAAATAGACAGGTTACTGTTTTAAATGTATAAATGATTAAGTGGCGACCTCTGCAAGAGTGGCGCATTATATATAATAGTGACATGGCCTAATTGGGAATTCCAAGAAGTGGTCTAGCTGGCACTGTTCTGTACGAATTCCACACATGTAGTACGATTTTTGCAATAGGCACTTCAGGCCCCTCACTCTTCACTTGTGTCTTGCCCCCTGTCTATCGCAGCTGATATTTAAATGCGTTTTAGCTTGTTGGCTGAGAATCTTTTAGCATAAATACTGAAGAATTGAGTCTCAAGTGATTAAGGGTGACAAGAAGGGCTTTACACTTCTGCTCTTGATCTACAACCACTTGACCATCATGTGGAGCCATTATGTTGCAAACAAACCAGTATGCTCTTCCAGCTTTTTTAACACATTCGGGTTTTTCACGAGAAGTACATTTTACCCAACAATCTATGTGGGATTCCAAATGTGTAATCCTTGGCTTTCATATAGCATTGGCAAGGCTTACCAATGCATACATTAAAAACTTGCACAGCATCTTGGACATTTCCTCTGGCTGAGCTGAAGTCCTGTATTTCTCTGCTCCCATCAAGCCCAAACACTGCTGAAGGAGTCCACATTTTATCACTGATGCTATGGGATATCCTTTAAAAACTAGGCTAGAAATCTCAGCAGAAAACCTACAGTATATATGTTCTTGCTGCCTTATTTGAATGGAAGACATAATTCAGGATAATTACACAAATTTAATTAAAATAAAAAATATTATGTGATGAGTCCCTGGTCAGTGTATTTCAGTATGTGTTACTATAGCCAGGTACACTAAATGAAATCCTGTAGTTTGGTTCATGTTTGTTTCACTGACTATTTTTATCAAATCTTATTTTGATAGTATATTTGTGACGGAGGGAAATTTACTTAAATTCACTTGGGTTATATTTTTCTGGAGGTCAAAAGTTTACACTAACTTTTGTCACGGGTGTCCAGGATTAAAAAGACAAACATACAAACAGAGAAGACTCAAATTTGATTCCTGTGAAAGCCTTCCGCATGCAGTTCAAATTATAAACATGCCTGAAACTCAAGAAAATTGAGGAGATTGCATCAGTTCCATTTTACCAGCAAAAGTGATATCTTATCCAGGTCAGGAAGGTGTCATGTCATGCTAGAGCTATTCATCGACAATGTACATTGATTGCACCTTATATACAGTACAACTACAGCACCAACTAATCTTTCAAATTACATATTTTGCACTTAATGGCTTAATGCCACAACTCTTCTTTAGATAGACTATTTGTTCTTCTGGCCAATGGAGTTTTCCATGGGGATTCTTGTTACAAAAACTACAGATTTTGATTTTGCAAATCAAAGATTTCTATTTTGCGTATCATTGACAGATTTCTATTTTTGTGAATTACAGATTTCTATTTTGCAAATCATTACCAGATTCCTATTTTGCATATTACAGATTTTCATGTAGTTTTGCAAAACCGCCGCCCAGTTAGCCCAATGGATGGTGCGCTGGACTGTTGTGCGGGAGGCCAAGGGTTCGAGCCCTGGCCGGACCAACACTCTAGGTCTTAAAATAATTGAGAAGAATTTGCTACCTTTCTCTAACATCAAGAAATGGTTAGATATTCTAGTCTTCTCAGATAGGGACGAATAAATGGAGGTCCCGTCTTCTGCAGGATTGGGGTAGGAGACGTTAATTTCCCACACACGAGATTACTGGGTGATGGATGTCCTCCCCTGGGGTGGGATGGTGGGTTTGTTGTGAAGGCCGTAAGTGAGATAACTCATTGGGTTAATTACACGACCTTCGTTGAATAAAGAATATTGTATTGTATTGTAAATTACAGTAAGTCATTCATTGTGGAAATATGAAAAGTTAGTGCATTATGTGAAAACCTTTTTTTTCTTGTGTGGAAACACAAAACACTG